AGGGTGATCATGCGCTAACTATACCAATTACAATTTATATTGATTCATGGGCACTTGCTGGAAATTATCAAGGACAAATTGTTGTACAAACAAATTCGGGAGAAAAAGGTTGTGTTAAAATTAGTAATGTACATATTAAATCGAGTAAATGAAATCAAAAAAATTTATTTTTCATCCAAAAACATTGTTAAGTGAATCTCTGAGTTGAAAACTTTGTTTTTTGTATGTGTTATTTTTGAAATAAATATCAAGGATATTGTATAAAAATAACTGCAATGTGTAAGGTTGTTTTCAAGTTACTAAAGTGATTATTTTATGAAATGATTTACACTTTGAAAATATACACCAACTACAGCGCGTCTCAATTGATTTTCCCCTCTTGATATTTTCTTGTTTTTATTGCTATACCTCTTTTATTTATTAACCTATTATATATAGGAAGAAAGCCCGGAACGCGCTGCATCTTTTGGTATATTTACATAAAACATTAAATACAATTTAAAGTGCAAGAGATGTATTAGAAAAAAAAGTGACATTTTTTTCACTACAATACTTGGTGTCCAAAATGTTGTAACAGTTTTTATTTCGCGTATATCTCGGCTTTGGTAAATAATAATATTTTGAATCTTTTTCCAGAAGATGCGCCGTGAAAAGCTCTACAATAGATGTACGATTAAATTCCTTTTTGCCTGTTCTGATGGTTTTTCTTATACTCAAAATGAACAACTTACACGGCAGTGTCACTTCCTATCATATAGAAAATATTTTGAGGACTTTTCTGATTCGCTATAGGATTTGGTCTATACGTGTTTTGTAGAACTTTCAACGGCACATCTTTCAAAAACAAATTCAATATTCCATCATTTTCTCAAGTCAAGATATATGCAAAATAAAAAGTCTTCCAAACATTTTCAATATGATGGATAGTGGCACTGTCATATGGGTTTTTCATTTTCAGTATAAGAAAAACCGTCAGAACATGCAAAAAGGACTTTGATCATATAGCTTTTGTAGAGCTTTTCACGGCGCATCTTCTGGAAAAAAATTCAAAATATTTTCATTTACCAAAGCCTAGATATACGCGGAATAAAAAATGTTACCATATTGTGGACACTGTAGTAAAAAAATGTCACAGTTTTTTCTAATACCTTTTTTTAGACTTTAAGTTGCATTTGATGTTAAATGTAAATATACCAAAAGATACAGCGTGTTCCGGGCTTTCTTCCTATATATGATAGGTTAATAAATAACAGAAGTATAGCAATAAAAACAAAAAAATATCAAGAGGGGAAAATCAATTGAGGTGCACTGTATATATTAAAAAATGTTTCATTTAACTAGACAAATTTCATAAAAATAAAAAAGAACAATTATATTATTTCTTCAGTCATTGCAGGCAATGATACAAATCTGAATCAAAATGAAGCTTTCTATTTTATTGCTTTTATTGCGAAGTGTATATTTATTTTCTTAATCTGAATTCTTACGAGAATATCTAAGATAACAGTGTAGGCGAATATATATAGTTTTTGATTGGTATAGTCTACTGAGAATATTATTAGCACTCAATAATCACATTCATGAGCTGTGATCTACTATTTAAATAAACCGACACAAAAAAGCATCCTAGTCATTCATTGCTTTCTCTTGTCATTTATTATATCCATCATGTCTCAACAACATCTGTTCTTAATGTTTATGGTTGGTACATCACTTTTTATCATCGTTCAAATGTGTAGTATCAATAATAATCCTGACGAACTTCGACGTTATCAGCGTGGTTTTGGTAATCGACGTGCTTTAGTTACTGCTCTAAAGCATCATTATCCAAAACCAATTCTTGCTGGATTGGATAATCAAGATCATTTTCGAGCTGATAAATATTTATTCTCAAATCCTTATGACACAATAGAACAAAACGATTTAACTCAACAACAACAACAACAACAAATACCTTTTACTGATCGTTAAAGAAAAAAACTATCGAATATCTATTTATATAAATTAAATGATTTAATAAAATAATTTTAACATTTTCCACATAAATGAAGGCATTCAAAAGCAAAGGTTTCACTTTCTTCACATAGCTGTTGATTTTCAATGCTGCAGATATCAGAATTCACATCCGGTTGAACACAATCAACTAACAAAGATAAATACAGAGAAATATTTGATAGGAACAGAACAAATAACTGTACCATTTTCACATTCACGTCCGTTAGTATTCTCCAGACAATAGCAAAAGCAGCCATCTTCAGTTTCTGGTGTACCACCATTTTGACAATTAAGGAGACAACTTGCTGGGGAAGTTGTCCTTGTTGTCGTAATTTCTAGAAAAGCACAATTTTTAAAATGAAAATAGAAAATCTATTTTGAGCTATAATGAGAGATCATACTAATCGAACTAGTCGTTGTAGCAGTAGTAGTAGTAGTTGTTGTTGTTGTTGTTGTTACTAATACAAACAAAAGAGAAAAATTTATCAATGTATTCTGTTTCTTATTTCTACCTGGAGGACTGAGGGCAAATTCTGTTCCAACTCCATTACATTTATCAGCAGCACAGAAATATGTTTCCAAGCCGTTATGACTACCAATAGAGTTCGAAGGTCCACAACCCCACCAACAACATCGTCGTTCAATGATTGCTATTTATCTGATTTATGAAAGATCATCTGAAGAATTTTTCTAACTATTTACTTTGATCATTAGGGTTTCTGTATACCATGCAACTGGGACAATTGTTTGATACAGATGAGCCTTCTCTACCACAATCTGGTCCGGAACAATCATAGCATTGAAACGATGTTTTCGGAGCTGTAGTGGTGGTCGTCGTCGTTGGTATTGTTGTCGTTGTTGTTGTTACTGTTGTTGTGGTTGTTGTTGTTACTGTTGTTGTGGTTGTTGTTACCGTAGTTGTTGTCGTTTTTGTTGTTACTGTTGTTATGGTTGTCGTCACCGTAGTTGTGGTCACTGTTATTGAAAAGCAAAAACTTTTTTCAACTTATTTTTTGTCATCACTTCTACCTGGAGGACTGAGAGCGGATTCTGCACCATATCCATTGCATTTATCGGCAGCACAAAAATATGTTTCCAAGCCATTATAGTTACTAACAGAGTTCGAAGAGCCACATGACCACCAACAACAACGTCGTTCGATTATTGCTGTTT